GCGCTAGGACCTGCAACAGTAAAGCTGACAGTGAGGAGGCCATTTCCTGGCTTTACATCAGGTTTAGGATGTACTGTAAACAAAATTGTCGAGACGTCCAACATGCATGCCTCAGGAGCGCAAGAAACGGCGCCTCTATGATGACGACCCAGGCTTGCTAAGGGCCTACAGTGCGACTTCGTGATTTATTAATCGTTTGGGTACATCTCTTGATTGATGCATCCCCCAAGAAAAGAAGAGGGTTTCCTAGCCAGTCATGCTTGGTTACCCAAGGATAATGTCAGATTCTGCCTTGGACCATCAGGTCCGGGGCCAAAGCGCCAGCGGACGGCGATGGAAGCCCTGCGAGCATGGGCGAGTGAGTGGCCAGCCGAGGAGCCCATCCCCAGTACCTTGGATCTTGGTGGATGCTCATCAGGAACCATAGTTTTCAAAATCATCTAAATTCAGCAGTGTTTGCAGCCCCCAAGAGGGGCCATGAGTGCTCACAAGCCCGAGACTGCAAAGTAGTTTCTTTTCTTGGTGTGTGCGTGTGTGTCCAAGCTTAGATAGTAATTTGTGAATTTTGACATATGTTGACTTATTCTTGGCAACGGATGGAAGCACGATCGTGTTGGTCAACGGGTCATTGGACAGGGCCAAATGTTGATCCGGGAAGCATTCCACGCTTCTTGAATCCTGAGGAAAGAAAATAGTTGACTACAAGCAGGAGGACTGATGACTGATGGAAACTGCCGGGAATTGAATGTGTCAACGTGTGTCAACATATCAAAGGTGCTTTTCTCTCTGTACACATCATACGTAATTATATAAAATATATGTTTATATTTGTTTATGTATGGTGCATAATACATATTTCTTTTTGAGCAGAGACAAGGACATGCATAACATATGCACCCGTAGTATATGTAGTAAACACAGAATACAGATATTCTCCCTGTGTCGCACAAATCCGATTAGTGATGTCCCTTGATGTTCGTTTGTTGCGCGTTCCAGTTGCAGGACATCATTGACAAGACTGACGGCTACGCCGTTCTTCGAAGGTGCCCGGAAGAATGCGCAGCACAGCTGCGTGTCAGCGAGAAGCACTTTGTGGCGGATCATGCTCAGTCTCTTGCACAGAAAATTGGGTACAGGTCATGTTTGTCTGCAGGATTGTTTAGTCACGGACAAGCCAGCACGATATCGGGAATGACACTTAGACTTGCTACAGGGGAATTTGAGCAGCTAATCCGCGCCTCCAGCAGCCGTAGCGGCTTCAACCCCATGTCCATGTTGTGGTCAAAAACACTGATGCCTTCAGTCAGAGGATATCTTTACGAGAGACAACGGGGGCCACGGGTATGACTGGCTGAGAGAGGGGAATCGTGTTCAAGTTCCTGGGGCCTTTGTGTTTCTTGGGGTACTAATTTTCAAAGAGACAAACCAATCAACCCGCAAATTGCGCAGTTACATATATTTATGTATACATTGAGTACATGCTGGGCACAGCTCCAGGGATGTGTTTTGACATCAGGCCAGGTTCAAACCATCTCAAACCTGGCATGCTGACGGGTACATCTAAGGCTCCTCCAAGAAGAAACTTGGTTCCACGACTTGTCGCCCGAGGACGCAAGATCGTGGGCGGATGCGGGCGGTGTTGCAAACCTATCAGAAGTGGTCTCGGGGAAACAATGAATGAGAGGAGACCTTTATATTGATTCAGACAGCAGCCCCTGGGCTCAGCCCCTTTGTTGTCCTTTGAGTTTCTTTATTCCAGGATTCAGCTGCGCTTCTTTGCAAATCTCATCTATTGAAATCAGTTATTTGTTGTTATTTGGTTCTCTCAACCTTTCGTTTGTACCTGACGCCAGAAACACTTGGCTGGTCTCGACACAGGCTGTGCGCTGGATCATTCTTCTCTCCCCTTTCTGAGCAGGTTCACATACGTATGGGTTTGTCCGAAATTTTGGTATTAGTGAGAATTTTTTGTTGAAATTCACAAGTTTGCGTCATGCACGCGGTTTGTCTTCATAGTAGCTAGTTGTTGGATGCCCTTGGTGCCTTTTAAACAAACCATGTCGTGACTTTTTTGCCCCTAATTCGCAAGGACCCCATGCGTGGATCGGATAACGGATAAAGCTCTGGGTTCCGTCGCCCTTTCCTTGATGTTAACCCAGCGAATATTAGAGAACATTGCCGGTTCAACTAAATGCTGAAATCCGAAAGGCTATTATCGTTTTTTGTTTAAATGTGCCATGGAAATGTCAAAGGGGGCTTCACATGGCTTAACCAGATCAGACAGAATATTTCCCACGATGTTTTGCAGTTTTACATCCACCTTCATTCGTTGCTGAATTAATCCCAGTTTTAATGTTTCAGGACATTTCAGCTTAAGGACTGAGAAACTTGGTGCTCGATGACTGAGTCCCTTCCTACTGGCAGATTCAGAGACAAATCCTTCCATATCCTCTCTATATTTCCTATTTTGTTCCTTTTTGTTTGTAAAGCCTATGTTTGGTCAGCTCGGAAGCCCAAGACCACCAGCCCTCAGCCAGGAGTGGTGCAAAGGCGTAGGTGTGATTGCGGATGAGACAGGAGTCGCTGTGAAGGCGATTAAGGCCCGGTTGAAGGAGTTGATGGGTTGATGGCTTGGATGGGGATTTGAGCATCAATAAAATTCAAGAAATGGGTTTGCTGAGCTGGAAGAAAAGGGATTTCATGGGATATATAAGCTACGCAACAAAACATACATATATATATATATATAGAGATACAGTATATGTGTGTGTTTAGAGCCAGTAAACACGGGACTTGAGCTCGCAAACAACAACTGGGATGCTCATTCAAGCTTAAGACATGTATCATATACGTAAGGTGCTGCTATTGCTGAAGCGTTTGAAGATTTAAATTCCCACGTCGACATTTTATGGAAAGTTTCTCAGTGAGAGGCAATTCCAGTTTCTCAGAATTTCTCAAAACACGCTAGGCAAGAAACATCAGAACACAAATAAGTATTGAATCATACAGATTCATAGGGACACCTGAGGACACCTGCAGCGATGCTAATTGATGCCATTGAAGTAGTCGCCATTGAGGCACCGAGGAGTTTCGGTGTATCCAGTCACTCCCCTGGAACTCTTCGGCAGGCGGTGGTGGCTGGAAATAGGGAACATCGCTTCACACTGCCGCTAGTGGAGGTGGAATCGAAGTCACTGGCTGGGTATATCCATGCCTCTTGGATGCACCCCCTGCTGATTTTGCTTCCTCGTCATGGGATGCACATGGGTTTTGCGGCTTCATGATCTTGTGACACTGACCAAGCTTCAGGGGAGCTAATTCATGACACATTTGTTGCAAACATGGTGATTGTTTTGTCTTGAGCAAGCCATCTCCAATTAAAAGACAAGTATATACTGTCTTGATCCGTATTGTCATTGTATATGTACTGGTTATATACTACATATACACACAATAATTTCATATATATATATATATTTTTACTGCTTTGTGTACTTATACAAAGTTCTATATACTTATTTTTTTTCTTATGTATACTTGCATTTACTTATGTATATATATATGTATATATTTGCATTTATATACTTATATGTATTTGTTACTTATATTTGCTGATATATACGTGTATATTTTACTTATATACATACTGATGTATGCTTATATATATACTTATACTTACATATATATATATATATGTGTGTGTGTTTGTATATACTTATATATTGTGCTGTAGCTCTACCATGAAATTTGACCATTTGCAATGATTCCTTGTATAACAGGATTTTGGCGATTTTGCTTCCTTGGAATTTCGTTTGAATTCTGTTAGAATTTCGTTGGCATTTCGTTGGAATTTCGTGGCAAAACGTTTTGCCACATGATTTTGCCTTATTTTTTTCGTTCGAATTTCGTCAGGATTTCGTTGGAATTGCCCAACGAAATTTTCACGAAATTCGAACGGTTTTTTTTGTGGCAAAATGTTGTGGCAAAACGTTTTGCCACACCCCAGAAATCAAAAATACACCAGCATTTTAACGAACTTGTGGTTTGTGGCAAAATGTTTTGCCTCAACATGTTGCCCATAAAACACGCTGAAATTTCGTTGGCAAATCGTCCAAGTCAACAAATTCCCAACGAAATCTCAGCGAATCATTCAACGGTTTTCTTATGGTGGCAAAATATTTGGTAACGTGGATTGCCACAAGTTTTTTGCCATCATTGCCACAAACCCATACCCGTTTATAGGGGCCCCATTGCAAATCATGTAGAAGAGCATTGCAACTTATATATATTTATGTGTATTTACTTTCATATACTTTTTATCCTTGTATATTCTGGTATATTTATATATACCCATATTTACTGATATATACTTCATATACTTATATACATACTTCTGCATACCTAAATTTACTTGTATTTACTTATATATACTTATTTATTCTTTTACACATATATTAATTATATTATATATACTTATTTACTTATTTTTACTTCTATTTACTCAAATATACTCATGTTTACTAACTTTTATTTACTTATATTTACTTCAATATACCCATTTTTATTTTATTTGTTTTAAAACTCGTATATGCTTGTATACATGTGCATTGACTTATGTATATTTATTTTTACACTTTTATATTTAATTGTATTTATTTGTATATACTTTTACATAAACATTTACTTTTACATAATATATACTTATCCAAAAATACACATATATATATACTTATGTATACTTGTAAATGTCTAAATATACCTATGTATATTCATACTTATTTACCTGTTTTTATTTATATGTATTTATATTTACTCATATATACTTATATTTATTTGCTCATTGTTTTTTTTTAAACTTGCATATGCTTGTATACACTTGCATTTACTTATGTATACTTACAAATATACTTGCATATTTATATATACATGTATTAACTTAACTCTATTTTAATATTCCTATATACTTGTATTTATATAGATATACTTATATATACTTGTATATACTTGTATATACTTGTATATACTTATATACATATACTTCTATATATACACACACTTTTGTATATTTGCATTTGATTTCTTTATATATACGTATATATACTTGCATTTACCTATATATATATATACACACTTTATTTACTTATATATGCTTATGCATACTTATACATGCTTTTATATACTTGTATATGCACATGTATATGCACATGTATATGCACTTGATCTCTCCAATGTGCCCATGCTGGTTCTTGAGGTGGGGTGGAAACCCGAAGAGGAGGAGCTATCCATAAAGCAGCTCAAAGCTGCTTGAATGTTCTAACTGCACTGCTTTCTAGTTTTTTGATAGGTGCTCATATTGAATTTTGCCGGGATCTAACTTCAGTGGCAATGACAGTCTTCACGCCAAGGTGAATGACAAGGACATGAATAGAGGGCTTGGAAAGCTGCTGCTAGCAGCAGCTGAAGAGCACAGCCGTCGATGCTTGGCTGATCTATTTCCCACACATTGGTCCTACGCCATTCAAATGTTGGGCCAGGGTGACAGTTTCAATTCAGTCCCACCCACTTAAGGAGCATGTCACCGGGGCGATCACTGAAGTTTGTAGGTATATGGAGCAGGTGATACCTTTATATTCCTTATATTTGAAGAATTTTGTATGAAAGATGTGACAGACAGAGAATGCGTGTTTCATGTTCCACGTTTTAGTTTCAGACCTTACCAGCGGCTGTAACATGCTGCAGCCCACCACTGTGGGTCCTATCTTCACTCTCATCCATTGACAGCGCGAGACCACCATGCTGTTGTCCTAAGGAATGGGGTGGACATGCACGGGGACATCGCTCAGCGTATTGGCATCAAATGTAACTCGGCTGACCCGACAAGAGAACTTGACATTTACCATTTGGCCGCGTTGCTGAAAGGTTTCAAGCTGAACCTTGATTGAAACAATGTCTATTGTTGTGTATTCCTGGAGGCCATGTGGATCATCACAATTTGTCATGGTCCCTTTTTTAGTGTTTAACGCATTTAGCGCATGATTATGCTTTTTTTAATTTTGGTGCTAAACGCTTATTTGATTCAGCCGTATCCACTCCATCACAAGGTGCCTTTTATGACATAATGTAGCCCGGGAAATAGGATAGATTTGGGTTCTACCGGGGACGGTTCACTTTATTGCCTCAAAAAAACTCTCTTTTTACCTTCATTTTTTTGGCTTGAGAACCCATGCAGTTACCCAACCTGGTCATCAGAGCGCCAAGAATCGAGGAGCGGGCGTGCAGGTGTTATAGCGGAGCTGGATTCAAGAAAGAATCAAGCAGAAGCGCCAGTTGGGGAAAGAAAGGGCATATCGCATCAGACTGGCAGCGATGGAAGAAGGTGCCAGCTTGGTCAATGTGTGTCCCCAAGAGACAAGTTAACCAACATTGGAAATAGCAATAAATCGTACGGATTCGTATTTTCCCACATGCGTAGCAAGGGTTCCCGTCTCGCTCTGGGGGTTTGGAGGTTGAGGGTGTGTTCACTAGAGGTTACTTTTGCGTCCGCAACCGATCGCAACCGCTCGTACTTTGGAGGCTTCAAACCTTGCGTAACTTCGTTTCGTATGGCAGGCGTGGCACTTTGTGACTTTCCAGAACATGTTTCATAACGTGCCAAAAGTTTTTCTGTGTGACGGGCACAATACTTTTGCGTCGCTTTCAGAAGATGACTTCCATTTTTTGTGGCAGGCAGGCGCAGCAATTTAGTCGTGTCGTGGTATGTGTTTTTTGCGTATCGCATTGTCAAGGCTGCGTCAAGTGAAGACAGCGTGCAAATTCCGTTGCAGGCGCGGCATTTCGTGACATGTGATGAAAATTGACGGAAGCCGCGCACGAAACATCAGTCCTGGGGTGGTAGACTAGATTGTGGGGTTCAGGAGAAAATTCGTAGGAAACGTCGATTTTGTAGCTACAAAGTGTGAAAATTTGAGGAAGTCTCGCACAGAATGCTTGTTTTGAGGCTCCAGCATGTCTCGTCTCGATTCTCTGGTTTTCTTGTGGCGTCGCCGTGCCTTCATAGAGGAAGCTGTAAAACCTCTCATCTTCGATCGCCCCAAGCAGGTTCTAATGTCGCTTTGCGTGGCAGGCGTGGCACTTCATGACATTCTCACAACGTGTGTGTGTATGTGGAAAAGTGTCGAGAGTCGTTTCTGGGACAGGCGCAACACTTTGGCAAGGTTTTCATAGGATGACTTATAGATGACTTAAAGACGTGCAAGTTTCGTGGCAGGCGCAGTACTTTGAAGACCTCCATCGGCATCTTGCGTGGCAGGCGCAACGCTTTAGACGTGTGGTGTTACGTGTTTTGGCGAATCGCAATGTTAAAGCTGCGTCAAGTGGTGGCAATGTGTACATTGCGTGGCAGGCGTGGGACATCCTGAGAGTTTACTTCACACCTTACATTCCACACGTGACACTCCACACTACACTTTACACTCCGCACTCTGCACTTTGCAATTCCATTCTACACTTTGCACTTTACACCCCACACCGTGCACTTTATATATTTTTTCTGCACTTTACACTCTGCACTCCACACTTTACACTCCACACTTTACACTCGGCACTTCACACCCCACAATCCCCACTTCAGACGCTATAGACTACATTCTTCATTCAGCACTCCACTATCTTGACGCTCCACACTTTACACTCGGCACTTCACACCCCACAATCCCCACTTCAGACGCTATAGACTACATTCTTCATTCAGCACTCCACTATCTTGACGCTCCACACTCTGCACTCCAACACATTCCGCACTACACTCTACACTCCACACTTTACACTCCACAATGGACACTTTACACTTTACACTCCGCTCTCTACACTGCACTTTACATTTTTCACTTCACTCTTCACGCTTGACACTTCACACTCTGCACTTGACACTCCACACTTTACACTCCCGACTCTACACTTTACACTCCGCACTCTTCCCTCTTCACTTTACCCTCTACACTTTAACACTTTAACACTTCACACTCAACACTATACATTTTACACTCCACACCCGACACTCTACACTTTACACTTCACACATCACACTTCACACTTTACACTCCGCACTTTACACTTCACACTCGACTCTACATTTTACATTCCACACTCTACACTCTACATTGCCATTCTACACTCAGACATTACACTCCACACTCTACACTTCACACTTTACACGGTGCACTTTGCAATCCACACTCTTCACTCTTCACTTTGCTCGCTACACTTCGCACTTTACACTCCACGCCCTACACTTTACACTCTACATTTTGCACTTTACACTTTACATTCGACACTTCGCAGTCCACATTCTACACTTTACACCCCGCACTCTGCACTTTACACTTTAAACTCCACACTTTACACTTGACACTCCACACTCCAGACTTTACACTGTGCACTCCGCACTCCACACTTTACATTTTACATTCGCACTTTACACTTGGCGCTCCACACTCTGCACTTGACACTGTGCGCTCTACACTTTACACTCCACACTCTACACTTGACACTTTACACTCGGGACTGCATTTTACTCCCTCCACACTGTACACTTTACACTCGACACTTCACACTCCACACTTCACACTCCACAATCTCCGCTTCACAATGTACACACTGCATTTCCAACTCAACACTCCACTGTCTTCACACTCCACACCCCGCACTCCAGTCCATTCCACGCTCCACAGTCTACACTGGTACGGTAACAGAGGAAGAATGCACAGGGCTGTTGAAATAATTTGTTTCACAAAAAGTGTTCTACGTGACTGCATCCCTATGTGTTTCGACATTGGCATAACGTGTGAGCATTCGGGTTTGTCGGCTGCATCTTTTTTTTGGGCATCTCTGTGACTTTCAGTTTGTGTCTGTGGAACATGAATGTGGAAAAAAAACATTTTTCTAGCTGATGTGTGGGAAACTGGTGAACATACGCCACTGACTGCGCTTGATTTTGTGCTATTGTGTGTCTATTTGATATTTTTTGGTTGTGTTTCGTTTGGACATGCAATTTTTTCCTTGACGACTCACAGATTCAAATTCTTTGTCTGCAAAATGCATCGCGATAGCTTGAAACCAGCAGCTCTTCAGAATATGGGATTGGATTTGGCCCCTTGCCAAGGTGACCAAACATGCTTATGATAAGAAGTCCCCGGTCGGACAGTAATGCGCTGGATGGTCTTCATCAAATTGCTTTTGGCTGGCCAGCATCGATAATGTAAAGTGACAGGGATACGACTGCAGAAAGTGCAGGTGTCCACGCACGTCAGTAGCCAAAGACGCTACTTAGCCATGTAAAGACGAGCCCTGATGCGGAGTTGGGGAAACTGATTCTGCAAGTCCTGGGATCATAAATTGAAGGGCCACCTGCAAAGTGGACCTAAAAGGGATTGTGGAAATGTCGCGGGTTTCTATGGCAGAGGAAATTATAGAAATGCCGGGAGTTCTACCGCCGAAGGTTATGGTATAACATAAGCTTCCCGGAGATGACATGAACAATATCAGAAGCACCACACAAACTTTGTTGTTTGAATAATTCTCACGCTCACTGTTTGCGATTCCTGGCTTGCGAATGCAACCATTGGACCAGGAAAAACCCGGGAACGTTTTGATCAATCACATTTGCTGAAAGAACAAATATATTGAAAACCATGCTCACGATTACTCACATAATTGTCTGTGCACTTTAGGGGTCTTAGGGGCCATCCCCCATTCGGAAAAATATGTCAAAATTCATGAAGCAACGATTCAATGCTTCATAGATGATTCGATTTGGACGCGCATGGTGAAGTGCCGTGCCTTGGACTTCGACCGCCAAAAAAATTGAAAATTGAAACCAGTTCCAGTTTTGGCAGGGTTGTGTCCCCGCTTTTTGTGGAGTAAATGTCCGTTCTAGCGGTTGAATTAAAGTTTTCTGCGCTTTGAAATCGTACTCTTGGTGGATAACGTATGATAACATGGTGCTCAGGTGGTCTTCCACGAAGCCTCGCGGCTGGCGGGATTCCATCGCTGCGCCTACCAATGTCTGCGGCCCCGGGGGCTCGTCACGAGGGGCATAACCGTGGCATAGCCAATGATGGTACATTTTGGTACTCGAACATGGCTAGCTGGGAAATCTCTTGTTTGTTGGGAGGTTGGGAGGAGGTTCGGTTATTCATGGGAAAATCCATTAAAAAACATCATAAATGGAGGATATTTCCCAGTTTGTTTTATCGCCTTCCGGCTTTGATGACAGCTGCTTGGATCTGGTTTCTATAGTTTCTACACCTTACACATGGTATTTCAAAATAAAGCAACTCAAGTTCATACGCCGTTACATGTTACCAAAGAGTCCCGATTTTTGTCCCATTTTTGACCCACATCCAAATCCATGACTTGGGAATTCGAATCCAAAATGCTTTCAGATGTGGCTGCCCGTTTGGACTTTACCATAGCAGTGGAAGATTCTCGTTTGGAATAGGAACATCATGTGCATCTATCTGTTTCAATGGTTGTGTGTTCAATAGTTCATTCCTCAAAAGTTGGAAGATGGCCCTCGTGCGCTTTCATTTTGGTTCAGATTTTGTTGGCACATCCACCAAGCAGGGATGTTTTGTTCACCAGGTAGGGCTGAACCAGCAGAAGCAATTGCGATGCCTCAGAAAGGATCACTATAACTACTGGGGTAGTAGTGTGACTTTTCTCCATTTTCCATCTATGCAAGAATACGCAAGAGTATTTTATTTTTTTTTGTGTCTTTCAACTTTTGATACGTGACAGGTGATGAGAGGTTGCTTGTTGAGTTTCAGTTTCAGCCCCCAGTGCCTGACAGGCTGATGGCTGCAACAGGCAGCTGCTTCGGCTGCGATTTTGTGATGATTTTGAACAGATTGAGAGAAATGGACTGCAGGTGGAATGATGAGCTGACATGTAATCTTTAACTTTTACTGCAAACCAAACGACATCTGACCTTGGGGAACCAGATTGTTGCATGAGAAGTGTGAGTGAATTTTCATCCCTGCAAGCCGCAGTCCGTGCAGGATCATGCAGGAGTTGTGTGTTGCCCTATCTTTCTTCTAGCCTTGGAAGTAGAAATGGATTGATCCCGCTCACTTCCTAGCTGCAGTCCACTCTTCTCTTGAGATGTTTGACAGAGGGGTGTCTTCACTGAACTTACTGCAGCTCAGAACTGGCGATTAGAGATAGAATAGAGGCAGCACAATTGCAAAAGAATCTGGCTGATCAAAATGAAGCATAGCTTCACTTAAGTTGTTCATCATTGATTGTTTCAAAAGACACTCATTGGAAAAATGGTCATGTTGTCTCCCATAGAAACTGCAGAAAGATTAGGTGAAAGGCACCTGAAAGACCATGGCGCTGTCTCGGTCAATGGAGCGAGCTGAGCGATCCGGGGAGATTGTCGGATGAGAAACAACAAACAGCGAACATTGGGGGATAGATATGGATAGATATGGATAGATATGGATAGATATCGTAATGATAGATAGAACATGATAGAACTTATTGTAATAACTCTAAAATACCTACAACTGGCAAAGTTGCTCTATGTTTTCCAATCTTTTGCGATATACGTCACCTTCGTGGCCTTGGAATCGTCGGAATCCTCCTTGCATCGAGCCCAACTAAAGGCCCTTGGTTCCAGTGGGTGAAGATTGCTTCATAGATGAAGCTTTGAATGGCTAGGACATGTATCAAGCAGCCACTTATTGTACTATTTAAGTATTTGTATCGAAACAAACCCTATTTGATGGTCTCAGACTTGTGGCTCAAGGACCACCATTGCAACATGATGCGACAGCTCAAGCTCCGATGGAAAGAGTGGAGCAAACAATCCATGGCACTAGAGGTTTGGGTATTTTGGATCTTTGGCAAATTCAGGTTGGTGTTTCTTGACTTCCAAGTTGCATAGCACTGCATGGAAACTGTGCCAAGGAAGTCGGAGAGGAATCTTTGACAGTGTTAAAAGTAGTTGCTGGCTGCTTGCGTGCAAATTCCTTCCCAAAAAACCCTGCAATGGTACGAGTCGACAGTTCCAGAGTCGACGACGAGTGGTTGTCAATGAAAGAGGCAGGTCATACACGCAATTGTGGGACGGGCTCTTGAAGTTGTGGGCTTTGCAAAGCACTCAGATGTGTCACGCTCACATGTGGTAAATCTTGAAATGGGTAGTTGTTTGATCTCATGTCCTCGTCGCAGAAGGATAATGTTTAGAGTTGTTTGCTGAAGATAACGATCGATTATATAGCTCTCATTTTTGTTGGTGGAACTGTCATGGTTTTCACACATCACCAGGTGTTTTTGGTTGAAGTTCCATCGTTGTTCTGTAAAGGCAGAACACCAGGACGAAGGTGAAGCAGAAGCTGCGGAAGCCACGGAAACCAAGGAGAGAGCTGGGGTTCTCACGCAGCACATGAAGGTTCAACCTAGAAACGTGAAGATTTCACCACCGAATTTGCAGGTTTTACGAACAAAACTTGGGGTTTCTTTCGGTTGGCAATTGAACATGTTGATTTACCAGCAAACATGGCATGAAATCCTTTGGGGATCCAATCGCCTTGCCCTGGGATAAAACATGGAGAATTGAAGCAACAAGAACAGGTCATATGGCCAGGAACGGACCATGGGATTGGGAGGGGACAGATTGCAAAGAACCATTTTAGGCGGTTTCATTTCATATCAGTTCACAGTCGTGTGATAATCCCCTTTTATTTGACCTTCTTTCATGAAGCAAAAGCAGGGGTTCTTAAACCATCGATGCTGATGGTCTCTTCCATCTCGTACATCCTTCGATCTTGCAACGAGCTGCCGCTTCTGATTGTCCTGGTTGTGCCTGGATATCCAAGGTATGATGCATTCTTTCTATCAGGGGGTCGCTTCCCTTGATGAAAAATGTGGTGTCTTCATCATAAGAGGGCCCTGTTGAACTAAGCTTTGCTGCTTCATCAGCTGGTTCAGCAGTCGCAAACAAAGAGTCCAGAGGAAGCGCACGGAAATCCATAGAATCCATCCTGCTGTGATGAAGTACAGTAATCAACGGAATTCCTTCGAGCATCCCAGCGGTTATTTCTGGGCTGCGAGGATCCTGAGGCAGAAGCCAACGTACATGCAGAGGCTGAGGAAGATGGTGAAAAGGATGAGAGCGTCCTGGACCGCGGGCAGTGAGACCTGAGAGCACTGAGTTTTCATTTTTGTTCATGCCCGGAATGATGGGTCTGGAGACCTTGGCACCCGCAAAGGGATTGCGGATGCTCATTGATTATTGACCATCCCAGTTGGGGATATGTCGGGGGTTTATCGAAATCTTGACCCATCAAAATGTTCTGTCACCGTCTGTCCCCTTTCACTGAGTAGTCCTGTGCTTTTTGAGATCCCGCACTGGGCAGCTCTTGGGAGTGGCAACCCCTTGCGCCCTCCCAGCTAGCCCCGCAGCCTCGAAAGCGACAGGACAAGACGGTACTGTCTGATCCTCTCTCTGATGAGGAGCGGGAGGGTTGTAGAAGATGCTGGATGCTGAAACACATGCAACAGTTCACAAGAAATGGTATTTGTTTGTGAGTGTTTTAGCCGCATCAAAAAGTGTCCATTCGCAAAGGTTGTTTCTTGCCGATATACCCATCATGGGGGACCACCCGGCAGGAGCGAGAGGTCCTGACCAAATTGCGGCAGCATGAAACTGAGGTGGGGATGGCATCAAGTGGATATCTCTTTGAACTAACCAACCAGTTTTGTTCCTTACTGTAAACCACAACACTTTGGTTGGTTTAGATCAACTTCCACTTTTAATCATTATAACCAATCCCTGGAATTCCGATGTCAATGGCAGATGGGTTGAAACCATTATCTTATTCGAACATGGAGATATACAGTGTATACATGTGTATGTTTCAACCTAAGGATTTGAAACTAAATCTGAGAGTTGGTCTCTATGGACACGGCAGATTTGGCTATTTTCAGTAGTGATTGGCCAATGTTTATACACTTTCTTGGATACCCAATTTGCTGCAATTCTCACCCATACCCAGTTGGGTGCATGCAATACCAAAGTATCAGAGGGTTGTCGCGGTTTTGCACGATGACCAGACCAGAATTTGCAGGTGAAGGCTAGTGATAAATGCTCACCCAAAATCATGTGCAGATTCAATGTTGCCGTGACCTATCGTTTTAGCATGTTTTAGCAAAGAATTTGTCTTGTATACATTCCTTCCTTGCCCTTTTTGTGGCAACCTGTTCATTTCTCACTGGTTTGTAATCTGCAAATCAAATGCATTCGCGGATCAGAAGTCTGATAGCGATATGTTGATTTAAGCCCAAATATCATCGTTATCAAAATTATAGGCAACCAATTGCCTTGGGGCTGTGTTCATTCCCACAGGTTGAGAAGGTTCGTTCCGCAGCGCTCGAGCTGCGATCGAGCCCTG